TTTTTATTTTGATGAAGGCTCCATCTCAATTGTAGTTTTTCAGAAAAGTACAGRACACCTTGAAAATATTTTAATTAATATCTTAGGAAAAAACAAATATATGTATTTGCATATATGCATACACCTTTATCCACATGTACACTTTCCAACAAATTACCGAGGAAGAATACTGAGAGATCATCATTGCAATTATAACAATACAGTTCTAAAACTTGGGTTCCCCTTAGTGTGAACCAATGGAGCACGTACAATATCCTATTTAAGTCTCAGAAGGTACTAGAAATTAACAGGAATATCACTAATTATAATCAAAATGAAATATACACCTTGTAATGCATATTGTCCTGTACAAATCAAGAAATTAAATAAAATGATAAATAGTTTTTGATACTTCACCAGAGCTATAATAGCAAGTTCACAGCAGACCAACTTTCAGAATCTAAGGATATGTCTAAGAATATAAAGAAGTCCAAGCTAACATGAAAATGTGAAAGAAAACATAGAGGCTAGAGCAAGTAGTCATGGTTAAAAATAATTTTATCATCAATTTTAATGACATTAATTACCTGGCAGAAACACTTTAGCCAGGTGAACAAGGTTAACTTCATCAGTCCTAAGCAAGTACTCCCTGACAAGTTATGACATACTGAGAACACATCCCTTTTGTGATGTATCTCACAAAGGTGCATAGCCTTAATCTACTCATGAGAAAATATCAGACAAACCCAATTTGAAGAAACTCTGAAAGAACTGACTAGTGTTCCTGCAAAGTATCAACGGAGTGAAAACAAAGCCTGAACTCACACACTGGAAGTCAGTAAGGAGATATGATAACCAAAAGCAAAATGAGATCTCCTAAAGACTAATGGAAAAGATGATGAAATTCAAAGAGTAAGAAATTTAATAGTGAGAAACTAATGTGACTCCATTTTTGAGAAACCAGCCTCTACCTCAGAGCAAAGCCTGTCCAAGGAAGGGGGCGTGACCCTTGTCCTTGGAAAAACCCACAGAGCACTCCTAGGCACATACCCACCCTGCTGAGTTGTTTGTCTGTAAATAACAGGAGAGGTCTGTGGTGCCAGGTGTCCCTGACTCATTAAGCTAAGTGAGGACCCATAGCAACCCCCCTAGCAACCTCCAATCAGCATGAGWCAGGGAAAATACCTGGAATGCCAGATGACCCCCAAGTAGTTTATGGTGGTTGATAACATGTTGGGAAACCAGGTAGTTTAGCAGGTACAACCCTCATGGCCTAAACCAATCAGTTAAAAGGAATCCCCCTATTGTACTAACCAATCACCCCTACCCAATTTGTTCCCACCATTGAATGTGCTAATCAATGTTAAGAATTGTTGTTTGATTTTCCCGCAGTATGGAATGATTTGCTGTGTGATGTTGTGACTCATAGAGTATCCCCCCCCAAAACCTATAAAATCTCACTGAACAAAGGACCAGGACTCACTCCCTGGGACCGCTGCATCTGGAACAGTTGTGAGTCCAGGCTGGAGCTTTCAATAAAGACTTTTGTGTGATTGCATMGGATTCAGCTCCTGGAGGTCTATTGGGGTCCCACGAATCCGGCATAACAATGGAAAAGTGATTAGAAAAATATTTGGCATAGATTGAACTTTAAAATTGAGATTATGAAATATAAAAAATGGACTGAGTATTTACATGTGGTAGACTTGGAATTTTGTCCATACTATATTATCCACCAAAACACTTATCATTTGCTTTCTTTACCAGGGTTATACTGATCTCATATAATGAGTTAGAAAACAGTCTTTCCTTTCTGTTCTCTGGAAGACTTTGCATAAAACTAGAATTTTCTGGTCCATGAATTTTCTGTTCTTTGAATAATGAGCTATTTGTGTCTGAAGGGGTAGATGATTTTTAAAATCATCCTTTAYTTCTTCATTAGTAGGGTTTGGTATAGTTTAAAATATTTGTATTCATTTTTCAACATATCAATGTTTCTAATATTTTCTAATTTTCCAATCTTCTACAGTTGTAGTCTTTTTCTGTTAAATTTTTAATAATAGGTTTTTCTTTTTCTTCCTTTTCCATAAGGAAAAGGAAGAAAAAGAAAATAAATATAAAAAGGAATATAAAACATTGTTTCTTATTAAAATATAAGAAATAATGTTTTATATTTTTAATCTCTTCCTTTTATATGTATCAACTTTATTAGTTTCTATATTTTTTTTACTATCTCCTCTTTCTTTAGCTTTGTGTTTATGTCATTTTCCTATGTTTCATGCTTAAACTATTAATTTAATTTCAACTTGTCTTTATTTTTTTATAAGTATACAAATTGATAAATTATCTTCTTTTGGTAGTATTTTCTGTGCACCACATTTTACTTCATTACTTCTTCAATTGTAGGATTTTCCCCTCAACTTGTTTTTTCTTCTTAATTTGAACATTCATAAGTTAATTTTGATATTTTTCTTTCAAGTTTTTTTTCAAGAATATAAAGATTTTAATTTATCATTTTGTGTTAATGTCTAGCATGTGGCATAGTCAAAGAGTTTAATAAATACTGTTTTAAAAAATTTACCCAAACTTGCCTAATAAACTAGTCCTTGATCATATTGCAATAAGTGCATATCTGTTAAAATAATATGTAATCTCAAAATGGGTGTCATTCAGTTTTATGTACATATAAATCAAATCATTCATATTATTTATATTTGTTTTCTAAACATATCATATATTTGTAATTTTGGGTATGGTTAACTGATACTTAGTTGAGAACACATTAGCTTGGCTGCATTTCTTGTGTACTGTAGATTTGAAAATAGATAATAAAAATACTAAGGTTTTTTAGCAGAGATCAGATTCTAGGCTTTCAGAAACAAGTGAAGTTAAATAGTTGACCTTCATAATGAGTTCTTTATGTATTGTAGTGATCATTTTTGTATTCTTTCTGTATTGTGATCATTTTTGCATTTCAGAAAGGACATTTTCTGTATTTTAATAGATTGATTTGTTGATGTACTGATTGTATGACATTTAATTTTTTAAAGAAAGTTCTTGAAGTAAGAAGGCTAGAGTTCTAGTTCTGCACTAGAAGATAGATGATACAGGCATATATCAAACAAATAATAAGCAGTTCTATAGATTTAAATGGGTAATTTTTTATGAGGAGGGAAAATGTATTAAAYTGAAGTAAGAAAAACATGTCCGAAAACCTCAAGGAGACAGATGTTACTGGTAAGTATAAATTAAGGGAGAGAATGAAAGAGCAAAATTAGGGAAAGTCAGCCTATGGATCTTTTGTTGTACCTTAAGTAAAATGGGAGCAATCATCATATAGTGCTTACAATATTCAGAGGGAAAACATTGGTGAAAAAATGCAACCAGCCTGTGTTTTATGTACTTGTGGCATACATATCTAGATAGTATAGTGCCCGGCAATGGAAAGAGGTAAGAAGCACGACTGGGATTACTGCTTCTGACCAGTCTATTTGCAATTAGGTTACTAGTGGAATGTTTCTGAGAAGGTCATAGTTGGACAAGTACTTGAAGGACATGATCAAGGGAACCATCCAAATACCCAGGGCTCAGGTGTTCCAAAGTGAAGTGATGAAAAAGGCCTGGAGAGGCAGTAGGATAGTAGTCAAGAAATGAGTTAGCTGACTTTCCATAGTGTGATACCAGAGACAGACAGAGAAAAAGGTAAGAAAATACCCTCTGAGCCTRACTGGTATGTGTTGAAAACTGAGTTTTCACAATGTTCTCCTAGAAAATTACTTTTAAAACTGAGTGAATGTATATGCCTGTATTAGGTTGTTACATCTGCCACARAAATTCCATAGGCTGGGTGGCCTAAAGAAAAGGAAATTTATCATCTCACAGTTCTAGAGGCTAGATTTCTAAAATCATGCTGTCAGCAGGTTTATTTCTTCTGAGCCGCCCCCTGCCCCCAACCCCTTGGCATAACCCCATTCCTGAAGCACTTAGCCCATGAAAGTGCTATTTTCTTCTGACAAACTGCATTTTAAATATATTTGGGTAATGGGGAGAGGATTTTACTTGAGGGAAATAGCATGAGAAAAATACCTAGAATGATGTTGGAAAGAAAGTAGGGGTCAGAAAAAACTAAACGGTCTAGTTGGATGCAAATCTTTCATGAAAGTGAACAAAAGCCAAATATGTTAGGAAAGATATACGTAGGCAATAACATGGCTAGACAAGAGGTCTGAACTTTATTATGTATATTAAGGAGAATTACTTAAGGTTTATGAGCAAGAAGGCGCAATAATCAGAACTGTGCTTCCAGTCGATTAACCCGTCAGAAATATGTAGTTTATGACCAGGTGCTAAACATAAATCTTATTAGCAGTAGAGGTTGTTCAAGCGGGAAGCACATCCAGGTATACCAAGGGCTTAGATAAATTCTTGTTTTGCTCTGGAAGGAAGGAGAGTTTGTCAGATTTTAGTGTTTTTTTTTTTTTTCTCTGACACTGAGAAGGGCATCTTGATATTTCTGCCATAGACTTTCCTTTGTTTTTTGTTGTCACAAATAGAAATAAGATTCCTACCTGTTACAGCTGATTCACTGGAATTTTGGACCATTCTGTCTTGCAGCTAAAGGAAAGGAAGAAAATCACCAAATACAACATAGCAACATTAATTAAATAGAAATAATCACTGTATATCCTGTGATTTATTGTGATTGTATAAACACACATAGATATATAACTGCACTCAAAGCAAACCAAAAAAAAAAAAAAAAAGACAACGTGCTTATTTTCAAAACCAGAACTCCTGATACTATTAGAGGTTGGTTCTCAGTATTCATTTTAACACACACACAAGTCAAAGCCCTCATGCTCCTAGACTTTAATAGAATGTTAACCATAATTGGTATACTCAAAGAATGAATCAATCAACATCTAATGTAGAGTTTAAGATTTACAGGATTCTCATATCCATTTTACTTCTGAAAATTCTGTTCAGAAATCTCTCTATTCATCTCTTCTTATTCTCTGCAGACACCATTCATCTTCGGGTTCTTGAATCTTCCCCAGTCGGCACAGCTGTTGGAAGTGTGAAAGCAACCGATGCTGACACTGGGAAAAATGCTGAAGTAGAATACCGAATTATTGATGGTGATGGGACTGATATGTTTGACATTATAACTGAGAAGGACACCCAGGAAGGCATCATAACCGTGAAAAAGGTGCTCTACGTCAGCAGAAATAAGCATTGTGTGTTTAGAGAGTTGAGGTTTCATTATGTACTTTTCACTCATGCATTATCCATTAAAAGATACATCACTGCCATGCTTGAATGTAATTCATAGTTTACTTAAGTAAGAAGTATATAAAGCCAAAAGCTTCTTAGACATGTACACTGTGTTTCTATTGATTGAAACATGAGTCTTGAGATTTTACAAAATTTAAAAAGTTAATGTATGTGTGATTATATTTTCAAGTCATATTAATAAAAGGCCACCATATTTTCTTAAGAAAATGCTTAATAGCTAATAAGAACAATACATCATTATAGTTGGAAGCATAAAATGTAGTACACTATCCAGATTCATGAAGCAATAACTAGAGATGCTAATAAAAACAGAATGGATTGGAATATAATTCAATTGTTCACATTTCCCCTTATGCTATGTAAATTAAACTTTTCTGCTAACATATGTTCAGWGATACAATTTAAAGGTAACCAGTTACGTTATTGTAGGATCAGTGCCATCTTATGAGAAAATGTAGGGAAAATTAAAAAAAAATAATTTATAATGAAATGCCAAGCATCAAGTAACCAYTGAGGCACTGGTTAATAAGAAAACTATCCTGAGAGTGCATAGCAAGGCAGGAGGTACAGAACCTTCATTAAACARTGACCAGCAAAGGGCAAAGCAGCTTTCTTATTTTCCATGACCAGAATGTAGCACTCAGGCAAACAGAATCTTGTGCATCTAAAAATGAAAAAGAAAATGGAGGAAGTCTGATTCAGCAATGTCTTCTCTGTTAATAAAACTTATCTTTCAGAGTGAATGTGAGGTGAGAGACATAGTTCTTTGTGACAGTTAAACTATATTGATATTTAAAGCCCCTTTTTTTGTTTATTAACRCATCCTCATGCCAACTTGCTATTAAATCTGTGCTCTCTTTTTTATGTGTTATTTTTACTTATACATGACAGTAGAATGTATTTTGACGTGTTATATATATATGAAGTATAACTTCTCATTCTTGTGGTTGTACAGGATATTGTCCTTTCTTATTCCTGAGATTTTCTTTATTTTGACTCTTTCAAGCAAGTATGGAAATTTATCACCAAGATTTTGTAAATTTAAAATTTAAAAAATTTTTTGGTACCAGGGATTGAACTCAGGGGTACTCAGCCACTGAGCCACAACCCTAGCGCTAATTTTTTTTTTTTTTTTTTTTTTTTGATGCTGGGGATTAAACCAAGTGCGAAGTAAGCACTCCACTAACTGAGCTATATCGACAGCCCCTCCCAGCCTTATTTGGTATTTTATTTAGAGATAAGGCATCACTGAGTTGCTTAGCACCTCACTTTTGCTGAGGCTGACTTTGAACTCACAGTCCTCCTGCCTCAGCCTCCTAARCTGCTGGGATTAGAGGTGTATGCCACCACACCCAGCTTCACTTTTTYTGCTTAGAAAAATTTACTAGTACCCAATACCTCAACACACACATGTATGCATGCCAACATATACATAATCTTCCAGTCTATTTTTTTTGTAGGGAATCACCACCTATGAGATAGGTTTGAACATCTAGCCCAATTTTTTGCAGGGTTTAAAATCTCATTTTCTTAAGTTCCAAAGTGTTACATTTTGAATATATAAAAAGTAAAAATTGAATCCTAAACAATATTTAAGGATTATATAATTATCTGTGCTACTTTCTAAACTTATTAATAAGCAAATCAAATGCATTCAACCTGGATTTTAAAAATCATTCTGTAACTTGAAATGAGCATGTCATACAATTCCCCTCACTTTAATTGAATGACATGTGTCTTTTTACAGCCACTTGACTATGAGAGCCGGAGACTATACACTCTGAAGGTTGAAGCAGAAAATACCCATGTGGACCCACGTTTTTATTATCTAGGACCATTCAAAGATACCACAATTGTGAAAATCTCTATAGAAGATGTAGATGAACCTCCTGTTTTCAGCAGGTCCTCCTACCTCTTTGAGGTTCATGAAGATATTGAAGTGGGCACAATWATTGGGACTGTAATGGCAAGGGATCCAGACTCTGCTTCCAGTCCCATTAGGTAATTATGCCTGTGTTTGAGATGAAACAGAAGAAATTGAAATTCACATAGAGATTATGAAATTCTATTTAAAACATTTAATGCAATAAAATACTACAGGAGTTTTTCTGTAAGTTATACATAAATTTGGTGAGCCCAGTGTTTAAGGTAAATTGGCTTTAAATACCTGGGAGCAGGTGTGCACAAGGGTTATAGCTTATTCTTATCGCATCCTATAGACTGAAGTCTGCCTTGTATCATGTGTTTGTCTCCTTAAAGTGTTTGTTGTTTTCTGGGGGAAAGGAGGTACTGGGGATTGTACTCAGAGGCACTCAACCACTGCCATATCCCCAGCCTATTTTGTATTTTATTTAGAGACAGGGTCTCAATGAGTTGCTTAGTAACTCACTTTTGCTGAAGCTGGCTTTGAACTCTTCCTGTGTCAGCCTCSCACTACGATTACAAATGTACATCACTGCGCCTGGGCTCAAGAATACTTTTTTAGATGCACATTCACTATGCAACCAAGCCATGATATTTGTATGTGAGATAAATATAAACAGTTAAAAATAATATGATTGTGCCATAATTCAGTTTTGTCATAATTTTTACAAATTGTACTTATACTGTAGACATCAAAGAAGGGAATTTTTGCATTGTTCTTGGTTTTTGGCTTTGTTGTTGTTGTTGTTTAGCTGTCTCAAAAAATGCAAGGACATTCCAGAAATATCAGTCACTSAACATTTTTCTTTATTGTGGCAATCAAAACACCTGAGATGTGATAGACACATAAAAATGAGAAAGACTCAAAGTTTGCATTGACATTTGCACTGATATAGCAAGGAAACACAGATATACCTAATATTCATCATCAAAGTGAACACTCACTTTAATCTGTTAGTCCATCATGTGTTCTGGATTTCATTTGTTTCCTTAATTCTCAGCAGGTTGATTTTGCTTCCACATGAGCTAGTAAAGTATGAGTGTAAAGGTTTGCTGTACAATTTCTGTGTGTACTTATAACTCATTCACCTGACTCTGGTCAGACTTACTCTGAAAATTCTATAAATTCTGCCAACTTTCAAGTGAAGTCATACTATATAGAGTGACAAATGTATGTTTTGTTTTATTTAGTTATATAATTATGCATAAATACTATTTCTTGGATTGATGTGCAGCATCACAGTTTACATGCTGCAGAAGAAAACTGTACATAATATTCACATATTACTCCCATCTGCCAGCAGGACTTCCCTATGAATATCACCCCTCCTGTCCACTTGTCTTCATCTAAGTGGCTGCATTCCCTGAATATTTCTTTAAGCTTTAAAATAACTAATATGCATGTTTAATATTACCCCTTAAATACTTACCAAGCATTTCCTTGGCAGAAATTCTAACTAACATCAGTCGTCTCTGCTCTGGGTCCTTGATTTCAAAATGGTCCTTTAAAAAAATGATACATCAGAGTTTTGATGAGACAAAATTAAGTTGACTATTGTTAAGTCCTGATATAAAGATATATCTCCACAAAGTGAAATATACATTCCATCCTCACATAGATTGATGGCTATTTTATACTAAAATCTATATGTAAATACTTAAAAACACAATAAATATAATGTTTAATGAAAACACAAATCAAAGGACCAGGAAGAGTCCATTCATGTATAGAATATACAATGCCAATAGGTATGGCTTTATATTACCTTGTTGTAGAAAGTAGGAAGGCATACTTTTATATCTTATTTTTGTAGAACAAGTGGATACAATGTATACATGTGATATACTATGTAAATAATCAAATAAATAGAAATATTGTGGATATATATGCACATATATGTAGTAAATTTATATATTCTACAGGTTCTGCATCTGCCAATTCAACMAAAATCAATGGAAATTTTTTGGAAAAAATATTGTTTGTACTGAATGTATGAAGACATTTTTCTTGTCATTATTTCCTAAATAGTATAGCACAACAATTACTTGTGTAGGATATGGCATTTACCTTATATTAGGTATTATAAACAATCTAGAAATGATTTAAAGGAGAATGTGCATTGATTCTAATCCCCAGTGGATATAAAAGGACAATTTTATATATTCAAAGAAATAAAATAGCCTTGCAAGTTTAATGTATTTATGTATCATCCTGGACATGTTACAAATTATGTCATATATTCTTAATGCTAATGCAGTAATCAAAAAGTTTTACTGAAAACATGTATCTTGGAAATGATTTTAAAAGAAAAATTAAAGTTAACACATAATTTGGTGATTAAGAATCAGAAAATAAAATTATATTTTGAATAATATTTGAAAAAGAAGGGCTRTAGTTTCTCTGCATCTTCAAGATAATATCACATAATACTCTAAATCTTATTATTACTTTTTTTAAACTGAACTGCAAAAAAACTAATTAAGAAAAACACAAAAACTGTGTTTGGCAAAATCATGGTACATGATAACAAAAGGTTTCTATTAATGAACATATTGCAASTTCACATCACATTTCTATATAAATAAGGGAACTTTTAATTGCCAAATTCCTAATAATTCTGTCATTCTTTCTTACATTGGATAAATATTTGTAGATAACCATATGAGATATTAACATATTATTCAAGGAGTTTTCATTCTATTGGAGAAGAATATGAGAATCAAATAATACTCACTAACTGCCTACTAAAGTTACAGTAGTAGATATATTATGATAGTGGTCAGTAGGCACATTGTTTTCAAGTTTCAATTCCTGTTTTAGATTTGGAATGAAACAAATTTCAAATACATGAAATAAGTGACAGATATAATTGTACAGTTACTTTCCATAGGAAGCAGTTAGATGCTTGAAATTTAGGTGATCACGGAAGACTATAAGGAGGAGATAAATTTTGTGTTGGGTCTTTCAGTAGTAAATTAATTTTGTAAATCTGGGTGGAATTTGGGGATTGTTCTAGATATAGGGATACAATTATTTGCTTTATTTGTGAAGGCTAAAACATGTAGTATGACTTTTTAAAAATGGGATTTATCAAAATGACATCATTAAGATTGATAAACCTGGTATTAGGTTTCAGAATAATATACAATACAATACCAAAATAACCAATTGCTGCCTATTTTAATACAGATGTATGAAGATTTCTCATCTGGAATTGTACTATTTTAAAGTTATACATTTTATAATACATGTGGTTAGAAACTGAAGCTATGTATATATCATACCCTGAAGCTCCAAAACACCCAACCGGTTTGATGAACCTACTGTTATCTCCAATTTTGTCATTAAGGAAAATCTAAGCTTCTGGGATTGGTCTGTTGCAATGGATTCCTGCAGTAATTCTCCACTACTAAATAAAGCAATGTAACCACATGTAATGTATACTATGTTGTGGTCAAATATATCAATGTTAGTTCACATGAAAATAGACAATTATTTTAAGAGCAGAGATTTTAGAAGACTAGCATTTCAATGCAGAACCAAGTGCCAATTCATGCTTGGAGAGAGTGAGTGTTTTTCTGTGATTAACTCATGAAACTATGTTTTAGATCAGTACTGTGTTTCTTCCAATAATTATTRGTAATATGTGTGTCTTTGAATTTTACCATTTTCTCCTGTAACACTTCAATCACACTGCCATGTACTTTTCTTTGCCCTCTATGTTCAGATTTTCTTTGGATCGCCATACTGACCTCGATCGGATCTTTAACATACATTCTGGAAATGGATCGCTTTACACATCAAAACCACTTGACCGTGAACTATCTCAATGGCACAATCTTACTGTCATAGCTGCTGAAATCAGTAAGATGACTTTTATGTCTATAATGCATATTTATGTTTATAATTCTGTATATTTTAGTTTTGTATAYTTAACATATTTATAGATTTAATTATATACTAAAATAATTCATTCATTGCTTATACAAATTATAGTTTTTGTTGTTGTTCTAAGAAATTTATATTTATTTTATTTATTTTTAAAATTTATTTATATATGACTACAKAATGCATTATAATTCTTATTAAACATATATAGCATGATTTTTCATMTCTCTGGTTGTATACAAAGTATATTCACACCAATTCATGTCTTCATACATGTTACTTTGGATAATAATGATCATCACATTGCACCATCATTTATAACCCCATGCCCCCTCCCTTCCCTCCCAACCCCTCTGCCCTCTCTAGAGTTCATCTGTACCTCTCATGCTTCCTCTTCCTACTGTACTATGAATCAGCCTCCTTATATCAAATAAAACTTTCAGTGTTTGATTGTTTAGGATTGGCAAATTTCACTTAGCATTATCTTCTCTAATTCCATCAATTTACCTGCAAATGTCATGATTTTATTCACTTTTATTGCTGAATAATATTCCATTTTTATCCATTCATCTATTAAAGGGCATCTAGTTAGTTCCACAGTTTAGCTATTGTGAATTGTGCTGCTGTAAATATTGATGTGGCTGTGTCCCTATAGTATGATGTTTTTAAGTCCTTTGGATACAGACCAAGGAGAGGGATAGCTGGGTCAAATAGAGGTTACATTTCCAATTKTCCAAAGATTCTCCATAYTGCTTTCCATATGTACCAATTTGCAGTCCCACCAGCACTGTATGAGTGTACATTTTTTCCCACATCCTCATAGAATTAAATGTTGTGTGTCTTCATAATAGCTGCCATTCTGACTGGAGTGAGATCAAATCTTAAAGTGGTTTTGATTTGCATTTCTCTAATTGCTAGAGATGATGAACATTTTTTCTTATATTTGTTGATTGATTGTATATCTTCTTCTGAGAAGTGTCTATTCARCTCCTTGGCCCATTTATTGATTGGGTTATTTGGGTTTTTTTGATGTTTCACTCTTTGAGTTCTTTATATACCCTAGAGATTAGTGTTCTATCTGATGTGTGAGGGATAAAGATTTGCTCCCAAGATGTAGTCTCTCTATTCACCTCACAGATTGTTTCTTTTGCCGAGAATAAACTTTTAGTTTGAATCCATCTCATTTATTGATTCTTGATTTTAATTCTTGAGCCACAGCAGTCTTATTAAGGAAGCTGTGGCCTAATCCCGCATGATGAAGATTAGGACCTACTTTTTCTTATATGCAGAGTCTCTGGTTGTATTCCTAAATCCTTGATCCATTTTGACTTGAGTTTCGTGCATGGTGTGAGATAGGGGTTTAATTTCATTTTGTTGCATATGGATTTTCAGTTTTCCTAGTACCATTTGTTCAAGAGGCTATCCTTTCTCCAATGCATGTTGTTGGCACCTTTGTCTAATATAATATAATTGTAATTTTGTGGGCTAGTCTCTGTGTCCTCTATTCTGTACTATTGGTCTACCAGTCTGTTTTGGTGCCAATACCATGCGGTTTTTGTTACTATTTCTCTGTCCTATATRGTTTAAGGTCTGGCAGTGATGCTACCTGCTTCACTCTTCCTGCTAAGGATTGCTTTAGCTATTTTGGGCTTTTTATTTTTCCAGATGAATTTTATAACTGCTTTTTCTATTTCTATAAAGAATGTCTTGGGTATTTTGATCAGAATTGCAGTAAATCTGTASAGTGCTTTTGGAAGTATGGTCATCTTGATAATATTAATTCTGTCTATCTAAGAGCAAGGTAGATCTTTCCATCTTCTAAGGTCTTCTTTGACTTCATTCTTTAGGGTTCTGTAATTTTCATTATATGGATCTTTTACCTCTTTCATTAAATTCATTCCCAAGTTTTTGAGGCTACTGATAATGGAGTAGTTTTCTTCACTTCGCTTTCTGAGGATTTGTCACTGATATACAGAAATGACTTTGATTTATGGGAGTTGATTTTATATCCTGATACTTTGTTGAATTCATTTACTGATTCTAGAAGTTTTCTGGTGGAACTTTTAGGGTATTCTAGGTACAGTATCACATCATCAGCAAATAGTGCTAATTTAAGTTATTCTTTTCCTATACATATCCCTTTGATTTATTTCATCTGTCTAATTGCTCTGGCCAGTGTTTCAAGAGCTATGTTAAATAGAAGTGATGAAARGGGGCATCCCTGTCTTGTTCCAGTTTTTAGAGGGAATGCCTTCAATTTCTCTTCATTTAGAATGATGTTGGCCTGGGGCTTGGCATAGATAGCCTTTAGGATATTGAGATATGTTCTTGTTATCCCTAGTTTTTCTACTGTTTTGAACATAAACATGTGCTATATTTTGTCAAATGCTTTTTGTGAGTCTATTGAGATGATCATATGATTCTTATC